TGAACGCCATAGGGTTGAGTCATGAAAACAGCGTGAGAGATAGTGAGAAAATATGACATAATAATTGCATGCCTTAATTTAACGTTGGTCAAAATTAAAATATACAACATTCTTCTACATTAATTCTACATCACCGTTGGACAGAAATAGAATTAATGCATCAAATCTCATGGACAAAATTATAATATTGCTATTATCAACGTTGGTCAGAAAAAATAGCAATATCATAAATTAACTTAAATAAATATAACTACTCCTCCAATTTAAATTTTCTCGTTGGTTCCAATTGAAAGTAGAGGATAAACATAATAATAATTTACTGAACAAAAAAAATAACCACTCTTCAAATTAAATCCTCCTGTTGGTTCGAATTTAATTAGAAGATAATAAGCATTAACTTTGCAGCGGAAACATGAAAGATAATCTTAAAATTAATATTATCAGAAGCATTTCTTTGTGCTTGACTACTCTCTGAATAAATTCTTGTGAGGGTTCAAATTTAAACAGAGATATTAACTCAAAACTTAACAAAATTCATCAAAAGAATGCTTCTGAAAAGGATAAAACTTAAAATCAGTGTTTATTGTTTATTTGGCCCGGCCTGGGGAACACAGCCCGTGGCCCATTCCGTAATAGCAGTGCGTGGCCCCAATGGCTCACGGTGGCCTAGCGACTGCTGCTGCTTGTGTGCACACGCCGCTCCCGCGCCTGAGCCGCAACTGGGCTGGGCCGAGAATCTCTTTGCCCGCCTAGGCCTAAAGCAGGCCCGAGCGCTGTCAGCCGTCGGATCCGATCGGACGGTTCTCCGTGCGCTTCGGCGGAACAAAAACCCCTCCCTGGTCGCTCGTCCCGAACCCTAGAGCATTTGCTTTCTCCCTCCCCTTGCTTCCTTCTCAGCGTCGCACCGAGTGAGGAGAGCATCAGCGACGGCCGTCCATGGTGGCTGGAGGAGAGATAGCGGCACCGCCGCAGGCCCCCTCTCTGGTGCACGTGTTCGCCCGAGGGTAAGCGCGTCGCCGTCGAGCGGCCTTGCGTCGGTGCCCTGAGCCCGAGCCACTGCGGCAGCACTCTTTGCCCGACGGCGTTTGGCTCGGCTCGTTCTCCCACACGGCGACGGGGCTTTCTTCCCACGCGACGGCGGTGCGACGGTGGTGGAGGAGCCCTAGTGAGTCCCTCTCCCGATCCATCCATGTTCTTTAGGATTAGAGTTTCGGGTTTGCTTGGGATTTGGTATTTCTAGGGTTAGGTTTAATCCGAATCGAATCAAATCGAATCACCTCCTTCTTAATTCTACCCCAAATTCTAGATCTACGCCTAGACCTGGCTTAACTGATACCAATGATAGACATAGTGGATCACCTAGACATAGATCTAGCGGGTAAAACCTTACATACAGGATAAAAACTTCCTAGAACATGATCTAGAGAGAGAGAGAGAGAGGAAGGGAGGTGAGACACAGACCATCCGCGGGCTTGGAGGAAGAGCTCGACGTAGCCATGGCGAAGGTGATGCGGTCCGGGTCGGCGGTGTCGTGGTGACGGTGTTGAGGTCAGTCACAGTGCAGTGGTGGCGCAAAGGCGGCAGTGGAGCTTCCGTCGCTGGCTGCGCCCCTCACTAGATTGGATTGGGTTTGTTGGTGGGTGTGGCGGCTCACGGTGAACCTCGTACTGAGAGCCGCCGGCCCTCACCTCTCTTTATAGCGCAGTGCGACGGGGGCCCACCAACCATGTAGGGTTGGGCGCCCCCGATCAGGGCGCGAGGTCAAGGCCCAACTCGGCCGTTGGGCCGAGCTGGAGATATCAACACTAACACGTTTTTCTTAATTATTATTATTACTTGCTTTATGAGTAATGATTAACATCTGAAATTTCTGATTGTTGCACTAGTATGCAATGTTGGTTGGCCTAAGTGCTATGTTTGATGTCTTCCTGTGGCGATATTGGGCCTCAGCAGATGATGAACATACTCGGATTCCCCTTCAGTATATGACAATGGATGATGGAAATCCGAGCTTCTGATGCGCTTATGGCCTTATGCCCGATTAATGCAAATGTTTTCAAGTTTTCTTTTTGCCCTGTGCATTATTTTATCATCATATTAGAGGGGATGCAACCTTTTAATTCTTACTTCAATGCTTTAACCTGGGTGTTTATGTACCCAAGTCAAAGTTGTGATTGCTTACTGGAGTTTTTTTTTTGACCATATGTGTGTTTTCAATGTTGTACTATACAATGCCTTATTTTAATTACAAGCCTGAGCCAAAGTGGGACAGATATGGTCCAAACACACAAATTGTGGACGATAGCGTTTTCTTTTTTCAACTGTTGGTAATTAATTTGTCCAGCTTTCACAGTAAATGGGTCCGTATTGTACAATCATATACAGTACGATGACGCTCTGTGTTAGGTTTTGAATGCGCTTATGTCCTTATGCCCAATTAATGCCAATGTTTTGCAGTTTCCGTTTTGCCTTTGCATTTTATTATAATAAAAAATTAGAGGGGATGCAACCTTTTAATTCTTACTCCAATGCTTTAACCTGGGTGTTTATGTACCCCATGTTTTTTTTAACCTAACAACTACATGCTGGGTGGCAACACCATTTACAAGATTATATGTTTCTTTACGTTCTCGTAGACTTATTAATTATTCATCAGTTCTATCTGGTCTGCTGTCTGCATCAGTCCATTTTTGTGAGGCCATGCATTGCACAAGGCCAGAAATAGAATTAACCAAGGCTTCCATTTGTCAATTTGTACATAAAAATATGATGCTTTGATTTACCGGTTGTAGTTTAATTTGATGCGTGTCTGGTACCGAAAGATAGTTGCGAGTGCTTAGATCATAACTTTGACTGGACCATATCTTTGTGTTGCATGCTGTATTGTTGGTACTACTGTATTTATTGCTTGCTTTAATTATAAGGCTGAGCCAAAGTGAGACAGATGGTCCCACACAAAATTTTGCTTTTTCAACTGTTGCTAATTAATTTATCTCTCTCTCTCTCTCTCTCTCTCTCTCTCTCTCTCTCTCTCTCTCTCTATATATATATATATATATATATATATATATATATAATAAGTTAAAAAAAAGTCGAATTTCTTAGGATTAGGTCTCAAACTAAAGAAAGTTTTGCTGAGGTCATATAGGAAAGATTTTAAAGTTGAGTTTTGAGTAGGTCCCAAATAAAGCTTGTTTTGAGCAGGTCCTAGGTAAAGTTAAAGTTTTAATTGAAGTTGAGTTTTCAGTAGGTCTCAAAGAAAGTTTTGAGGAGCAAGGTCCAAGGGAATGTGATTTTGGTCGAGTGAGTCACAATCTGAAGTGCGAAATTTTGCCATATTTTACAGGATCTGAAGGGTTGTTTAATTGTTTTTGGCCCTTATTATAGCTGATAGCTGAAGTGTGTCGGCTGCTGAGTGGCTTGGACTTCGTCGCGGACACGCTGTGCTGGCAAGGTCAGTTAATCTGGATGTACGCACACGGCTTTAGATCTTTTGGACGGAAAAAGTCAAGTGAAAGCGTGCGCCCGCCCGGCGCTTCGTCGCCGGTCGCTGGCCGCCGGCCGCCGTGGGCACGTGTAATTGCTGCTGGGAGCGTGGTAGGTGTGCTACGGCTATTCGGCTCTATAAACGGATGGGGAACGCAGTAAAAGTAAGCTGCGCAGATCGAGCAAAAAATGCAAAAATACAATATTATGACGGGAATAAAACCAAAAACTCTCGGACGTGTGACAGACAAGAGAACTGAGCAAATATATAAAGAGTCGAAATTTCTTCAGGCTCCCTAAGCCAGCCAGCCATCATGAGCAACTTATTATATACAAACATACATAGAAAGATACCAAATATCCATACAACGTTAGTCATGGCAATTATTTGAATGTTTTGTTTTTTCGTCAATCCGTTCCTCTCTGTATTTTACCAGCGTTGATCATACGGTAAAAAATTGTCGGCGGTCTTCAGCAGTAACGTTGCATCGTTGACAATCGTTGTTGTGCAGAATGTTTTTTCTGCCCAACTCCCAAGTTGGTCGTGCTGCTGAGCCTGTCTTTTGAAGCAGAGCCATGCAAAGATTTTTACCTTGTTTGGTAAATTGGTACTGTCGTCCTCCAGATTATGTTACCATAATATAGTCCTCAATCAGCGAGGGGTGACGTTAATTAATCCAAAAATGTACGATATCACATAGTAAGTACACAGGATTATGTACCGCGTACCGGTATATATAAGACCTTTGGTTGCTCTGCTGGTTAATTTCGTACATGGACTGGAATTTTGAGCCATATTTGCCTCTCTTGTCACTGTTGTTGCACTAGTGGATACTTACTGCAATTGTTTGCAAGTCTGAGCCGTACGGAACGTGACCAGCGGGCAGCGGCCTCCTCCACAAATCACGAGTCACGACACAGTTTGTTTCCTCAAATAGTGTTTAGTGTCCACCTTCAGCAATAAATTGACCCGTATTGTACGTGCAAGACACCTTATGTCACCTTTGAATACACCTCGTATTGTCAATTCTTTCTTGGATATTTGACGGATGGTGGTACTATTTTGTTTGTACCACTAGGAGCAAAAACAAGCACGCCCTACCTCCGGTGTCAAGCACACCGGCCCTAGCACACCCTAAAAATACACGCTGCAGCAGCTCATATGCCTTGTACATTTTACAGAGATTTTATTTCTTATATTTCGCAATTTTTATGTGCATGGCAATATGTACTTGTAAGGCCCTTGGTTAAGTTGCTTTGATTTCACCGTTGCAGTTTGGTGCGTATATATAGTTTATTTTAGGGGAATTTTGCCGTGGGACACCGAAGAAACAGGAAATTGGCCAGGGAACACCACCAACGTCGAAATTTGTCAGTGGACATTACAAATTTGTGATTCTTGGCCGAGAGACACCGCGTTGATTATTTTATTCATTTTTCAGTTTCGAGGAGAGAGAAGGCGGAAGAAATGTCTAAACTGTCCTCGTCTTCAACCTCTAGTTTTCACCAGCTATTCAAACGCAGGCAACTTCGGTTCCCACCTCGTCCATCTTGACCACCGCCGTGTGCGCAACCTTGGACAGGAACGTCGGCCCCCGTGCAGCGCCGGTGACTACTTGGTCTCCATCGTCCCCCTTGCACATGCCACTCAGGTCGGCAGCCTCCGGCGATAACGGCAGCGAGAGGCCCAGCTGACTGAGGTCGCCCTTGAGGTCACCCCAGCTGAAGGTGATTGCGAACTTGGGCAGCTTGATGCTGACAGGCCTCTCCTTCATCTCGGCCAATATGCCGTACAGGTACGCTAGCAACGAGGTGACCATGTCCACCATGGTCGAGAGGCCGTCACGCGTGTCCGGGAGGAAGAAGAACATGGAGTACTGCTGCGTGCTCCCATTGGCCTCCGTCGGGGGTGTGGCCTTGGACTCTGCGGCTACCTGCCCGCGGCGGCGCTTCAGCTGGCCACCACGAGCAGGCCGCACGGCCGCGCCTGCCAGCTCTAGCCCCGGCCGCACGTGCCGCGGGAGAGGCCGCCATGGCCGCGCACCTGCAGGCTCCGACGCCCAGCCAGCTCGCCACCCAGCTCCGGAGAGGCCGCGCCCACCCGGCTCCGGCGAGGCAGCAGGGCCGCCCGCGCCCGCCGTGCCTGTCCTCCGGCCCCGGTCTCGCGCAGGAGTCCAGCCGATGCCACGCGGGAGGAGCCAGCTCCGCCGCCGTTCTCGCCACTGCCGGCAGCTCTGGCGATCGCGAGGTCCCGGCCATGGCCGAGCCAAGCGCGAGCGCCCATGCGCCCTCCCCGCGCACAAACGGGCAGGCACGCTGCCGTGCTGTGCCGAATCGAGCTGCGCGAGGTCCGCCTCGGACTACGCTACTAGGGCGGCGAAGGCACGCACAGCCGTTAGATGCAGCGCCGGCGATCAAAGGACATGGACGGACCTCTCTTCAGGTGGAGTCTGGAGGAGGAAGATGACCACGGGGGCAATATGGTCTTTTCACTGCCCTTTCTCACTCCCAAACTGTGAAAATTAATATTTTAATTGCTGCGGTGTCTGGTGGCAAAGAAACACGATTTTATAATGGTACTGGGCATATTTCTGAGTTAGCAGTGTCTACCAGCAAATATCACGTTTGTCTGATGTCCCACGACAAAATTCCCCTTTATTTTATATTTGTTGTACTGTTGTGTTTCCTCAACTGGTGTTTAGTGTCCAGCCTTGAGCGATAAATGGATCCGTACATTTGTACATACAAGACGCCGCTGAATACAAGACATCTTGTATATCATCAGTTCTTTCTTGGACATATACGTACTCCAGTAGTTAGAAAAATCATCCTGTCAACTTGAACCTTGCCTGGTTGACCACGCGGGAAAGGTACATGTGTGGGTATATATGACTTTAGAAGATAGAAGCATCTTGTTAACTTGTATTACTGGACGCCATGTCCTCGATGCTACTATCTACATCCTAAACTACATATAACTTGAGATGAATTAAATCATCCAACTCAGTTTAAAACAAACATTTACATACAAGACATCTACCATTAATGTTTATAACTAACATAAATATACAAAATGTAATCATGAAGGACTACGTGCTTCGAGTGGAGGAGACGTGAGGAGGACGAGTCGAGGAGGTCGGCAGGAAGAGCGAAGGCGATTCCTATTTTTGTGGACTACGGATTTGATGTAGAGACCTCCATTTGGGCTTTGGAATTGCTCAAAACGTAACTTTTCAATTCAACAACAATCCATGAAAAGAAGGCAGGCCCCCCCACCTCCGAAAAAGCCAGTCCAACTCAGCCGAATTGAAGTCACCCGAACTTACCGCTGTGGAAATCCAATCTACTTACGGTATATCCGTTTTTGAAAAGAATATAATTCTACTTTGGTCCTTAGCCAAACTACCTAATGTGTTGACCTTATGTAGTATTAAAAAAACATTTACGATATGTATTTATAATAAAGTGTGAAAATATACCTCATAACAAATCTAAATATCAGGGTTCAAAAAAACGTTATTAAACGCCGTTTAATCGAGTTTAGTCGTTGAACGGTGGCCCAACGTCTCGTTTAGGGGGTAGGCATTCAATTAGACGCTGGGCGGTCCTAGGCGCTCGTCTACACGTGTTGCAGCGAGTAAACGTCGCGGAATCGGAGAAAAACGTCATTGGCGGTGGAAACGCGCGCAGGCGTCTTGGGGGAGTCGCGCAAGGCAAGGAAAGGAACGGGGGCGGGAAATCGCGCCCTTGCGTGCGGAAAAGAAGAGCGGCGGGCGCGAAATCACCTGGCTAGCGGGCGCGGAAAGGAACAGAGAGAGGCATCGGGGCTTCTGTCGCCGTCGCCCGCATCTCGGCTCTCGCGTGCCTCCTCCTCCCGCAGCCCCGCCTCCTGCCGGCGAGCTGCTGCCTCATCATGATCCTAAGATTCGACGCAAAGGCGACGGACGCCCGATCGCCGATCCCACACAGAGGCCATAGTTGCTGCGTTCCGCTTCTCCATCTGCAGGAAGCAGACACGCGAGGGTCACCACCCACGCAGCCTGACCCTGCTCCTTCTCTCTGTGTGCTCCATCGGTCTCTCCCATCTTCCCTTGCTATGTAGTCTGCAATTTTGATTTGTGCATGTCAATCACTCAATTGATGAATTGGATTGGGGATTTAGGGTTAAGATTGAATGTGTATTAGTACATGTCCGCTTTCAGTAGCTCCTTAGTCCTTATGATGGGTTCATCTTTGGTCCTTATTATGCCTTCTAATCCTGTTCTTGGATTGGGATTAGCATGGCAACGTCAGAAGCTCGCAGCTCTTTGCTTTCATCGAGGCAATGCTCTAGAAGTCAATCAGGTTGACAACCACCTAAAGAGGAAATCATCGATATAGAAATTTGGGAGGGGCGTCTCTGTGATCCCAATGACAAGAACAGAGTCAAGTGTCTTTTTGTGGCCAAGAGAGCACAAAGAGAATTTATCGCCTTAAGCAAACATCTTGCTCATGTTGGCACATCTATTGTGAAGTGCTCAAAAGTGAGTGAGGAAGTGAAGCAAAAGTGCAAGAGGAATCTTGATGAAACAACAAAGAAGAAAAGAGATAAGCGGCTGACATGACAAAGAGGTTAGGGAGAATGTGCGACTTTCAACAAATTTGAACAGGAAGTGGTAGAAGTTGAGTCACTTGTTGGAAGCTCAAATCGCCCGCAAGCTAGGACCCTTGGACAAATTTGCAAGACCGATTGATCCCAACTTAAGCAATGCCGAAGCTAAGAGGCAACAAAACATAAATGATGCACTTTGGAAAGAGAGAGCACACAAAGTGCAACAATATGTTGCTAGATGGGTGTATACACATGGTATGTTTTGTACTTCACACTAATTGATCATTCCTTATTGTTGCAGCCTTCATAATTATTGTAATCCATTCATGATTAGTTGCTGGAATTTAATTTTGTACCAATCTATTCTCGCAGCTATTCCATTCAATGCCTGTGATAATGATGAGTTTAGGGAAATGGTTGAAGCTATTGGGCAATTTGGTCCTGGTTTCCACCCTCCAACTCAATTATGATCTTTGGGAAATTATTGGAAGAGGAGCATGCAAGAACCAAGAGCTTGCTACAAGGCTGTGAAGATGAGAAGATTAACATGGTTGCTCCATCATGACTGATGCTTGGACAGATATGAAGAGAAGAAGTATTATGAACTCAGTGCACAAATACTAGTGAGGGAACAACTTTTATCAAGTCAAAGGAGATGTCAGATGTGTCACACACTAGTGAAGTTATATATGAGCTGGTTGATAAGGCAATTGAGGATGTTGGTGCTGAAAATGTGGTGCAAATTGTGATAGATAATGCTTCTAACAACATGGGAGCAAAGACATTGTTGAGCCTTAAGAGACCAAACATATTTTGGACTTCTTGTGCAACTCATACTGTCAATTTGATGCTGCAAGGTATTGGCAACCTTCCAAAGTTCAAGAAAACAATTGATCTTGCGAAATCATTCACTATCTTTGTCTATGGTCACCACCGAACTTTGGCATGCTTAAGGTCCTTCACCTTGAAGAGAGAAATCATTAGGCCAGGGGTAACTAGATTTGCTACAACCTATCTTACATTGCAAAGTATGATGGAAAAGAAAGATTGTCTGAGAAAGATGGTGGTTGATTCAAAGTGGTATGACTTACCTGATGTGAAGTCCAAGAAGGGCAAGGATGCTATAGCTACGGTGTTGAACATTAATTTTTGGAGAGATGTGTCCCTTTGTTTGAAGGTGTTTGAGCCCTTGGTGAAAGTGCTACGCTTAGTTGATGGGGATGTGAAGCCATCTATGGGTTATGTGTACGGAGAACTTCTCAAGGCAAAGAGGGAGATAAAGGAGGCATTTAGAAATGTGGAAAAGAACTACAAAGAAGTCATGGCTATTGTTGACAAGAAAATGAAGGGTAGGCTTGATTCTCCAACTCATGTGGCTACATATATGCTGAATCCCTACTACAGTTATAGCAATGTAGCAATATTCTCTGATCCAACTGTGGTTGAAAAATTCATGCAATGTGTGGAAACCTTTTATTATGGTGATGATGATAAGGAATATAGGACTGTTAATGAGGACTTGGAGAAATTCCAAAAGAGACAAGGAAACTTCTCAAAAAGATGGCAAAAGAGCTGTGAACGCTTTGAGTTCAATCCGGGTAAGCTTTTGCATCAATTACATCCATATATTTCCTTCAATCAAATCTGTCCAGATTTTGTTGCAATCAATTCTGCACATATTTGATATATTTCACTTCATTTTGTAGCATCTTGGTGGAGGCTTTATGGAGGTGGAACACCAGATTTGCAAAGAATGGTTATTAGAATCCTCTCACTGACTTCTAGCGCTTCTGGATGTGAAAGGAATTGGAGCACTTTTGAACAGGTCAGTTTGTAGTCTACCAATTGCTCTTTATTCCTAATTTGGTGTACAAGTGCTGATCAGCTGATGTGAATTCCATGGTTTTTGGTTTGCAATGTACAACATCATACAAAGAGAAGGAATAGGTTGACAACAGAGCATCTCAACTCTCTAGTATTCATCCAATTCAATAATAAATTGATGTCCAAGAAGGAGAAGATCGCTAGAAAGAGTAACTATGAAGTGCTTCTAAGTAATGATGCTTCTGAAGCTCAAGGATTCTTCTTTGATGGCGGGGATGATAATGCATTGGTTGTGTTTAGAGATGAGGAAGATGAGGGAGAAATGCCGGGTACCGGGATACCATGGAGTGTCCTTGGAGAAGCAATGGGAACTAATGAACAGCTCCAACCTCGTAGGAGTGCAAGAGTGGCTAGAAAGGTGGATGAAGAAGAGTGGGAATCTGAATCGGATGATCCTGATTATCAAGATGACATTGACTATGAAGATGAGGAGGATGAAGAAGCAATTCTAAACTCCACCACATTTGCGGAGTAAGGAGATTGCATTATGGCAGCATGCTGCCAAGTTATCTAGATATTAATATCTAACTATTTATCTTGAATTTGTGTGTGGATCATAAGACCATTATTATGTGCTGTACTTCTATTTAATTTGTGGACCATTAAGGCAAGTGATGATCTGTTAGTGTTGTCTATATATTTTTCTGTGATCTTGTGACCTATGCTGCTGATTGGCTGATGCTCTGTTGTCTAGAAGCTTGGTTGTGCATGTACAATGGTCCCGTTCGCTGGTCTGAACTTTGGTTGAAACTGGCTGAAAAACACTGTTCCGGCTGAATTGTTGTGAGAGAAAAACACTATTCCGGCTGAAAAAATAAGCCAAACAAGCCAAATTTAAGACAAGCGAACGAATCCAATATTGAGCTGCCCCTCATAGATGAGTTTCTACTCTTTGCCTATCATTTGATTGTCTGGTTTTCAGATTATTAACTTGTCTCTCTTTCATGGTTAACTGCTGTTGGATGCAAGAAGCTAAGGAGGAGAGGAAATTATGTCAACAACAAGTGTACAGAAAGAGCAAGATGTATGTTCATTACTCCAAGTTATTACTGAGTACTATTTAGTATTTAGTATTTACTACTCATCTTGGTTTCAGCAGCACAAAAATATTAAAATAATTAAAAAACACACAAACAATTAATCATGTTTAATCTACGTTTAATCTTTCTAGACGCTAGTCAGTAGGCTAGCGCCTAGCGTTTTTTTGAACATTGCTAAATATATTCCTACTTATTTTAATATATATATATATAGATATTGAATAGATTTTTTTTCTAGAGACGGGGACTCTTATCCACTCAGTCCATTTGATAGGAACCGAAGGCATCATTATCCGGTTTCGCACGCTTTGTACTCCTACTTTAATTTTGTATACTGTATAGTATTGTAGTCTCTGATCCATCTGCCAAGTCAACGATCGGATAAACATTAAGATTAACCCTTCCGGTACTTTTTCATGTACTGTACAGTATGTATGTATAATTGCCCAAAGGCGGGTGGCCACACGCCTACTCCACCGTTTTGGTTAAGTTCGTTTGTGTTATAATTCGTATTTTTTAATTTTTTAGTTAGAATAATATTTTTCTTTAACAATAAATCTGTTAGAATAATATTTTGATTTATTTTTTTACGAAGCTAACGGAGCCTTTGCCTCGTGAACTCCGCCTGGACCTGCAGACTGGAGTGAAAATATCCTTTCCTGTTGCTATCTAAAGCATTCAACGCTTCAAGTCCTTCAAGCATCAACTACCCGCGGAAATCAATAAATAAAAAGCACCCCACCCCCACCCCCACCCCGGCCCCGTCCTCTGCCTCCGCCTCGCCGTCCTCGTCTCCGGCCGTCGCTCCCTCCACTGTCAGCTGCAGCTGCAGCCTCCATCAGACAGACAGAGCACCACCGCCCCCGATCGATCGGTCGTCTCCGGAGTCCGCAGGATGGGGTGTGCCTTCTCGTCGGCGGGCTCCGCGGGGGCGCTGCGGCCGTGCGCGGGGGTGCGGGTCATCCACACCAACGGGTACGTGGAGGACTTCGAGGGCCCCGGCGTGGTGACCGTGGCGACCGTCACGGGCTGCCTCTCCGACTCCTCCGCCGGCAACGGCGACAACAACGGCAAGGGGTACGTGCTGTGCTCGGCCGCGCACCTGCTGCAGCCCGGGCGCGGGCCGTTCCGGCCCGACGACGCGCTGCAGCCGGGCACCGTCTACTTCCTGCTCCCGCAGTCGGTGTTCCAGGCCGAGTCCTCCGCCGTGGACCTCGCCTGCCTCATGAACCGCCTCACCGCGCTCGCCCGCAAGGGCTGCGCCACCGCCGCGCCCAAGCCCAGCCCGCTCGACGCGCTCTTCGACGCCGACGCCGCCGGCAGTCGCCAGCCGCAGCAGCCTGTGGCTGTGCCTGTGCCTGCGGCGGCCAAGGAGAAGGATGAGCCCGGGCGGGCGGCGCCATGGAGGCCCTGCCTGGACCGCATCGACGAGTCCATCGGCCGCGCCTCCATGCGCAGCGCGTCCAGCCGCAGCGCCTGCAGCGAGGCCTGATGCCGTCACATCCCTCAACCCTTTTCCCTCCTTTAGCTTTGGTTTCTAGCTAGATTTCTTCTCTCTTTTCTGATCTTCTCTCTGTCTCTCTTTAATTAATCTCTCTTCTTTTACAGTAGTGCATACAGATGGCTGGTTTTGTTTGATGTTTCTAGTAGAAGAATTGTAAAGATCCACAGTACAGTGCCGGATTGTATTGCCTATGATGTGATGATGAGTTTGTTGCTTTGCTGATGGTGTTATTAGATTCAGGCATTCAGCCAGCGTCGTATTGTCAGAAGCTCTCCTCTGCTCGGCTGCTTCTCTAACGTCCTGTTCTTGTAATTTGTAAAAGCTTGGCTCGCTAGTGCGCCCCTTCTCTGATTTGTTATCAGAGACTGGTCTGGTCGTCGATTCGTCGTCGAGCATCGGAGCATGCAGCTCTTGCTTTTGCTTCCAGATCCAGATGACGAGGGCTCGCGACTCGGACCAGAGACTACGCTTGCGTTGCGTCAGTTCCACGGAGGATGCTCTGCACTTTCCGGTCCGGTGAGTGTCAGCAACAGCTCGCAGTTTTGTTTTGCCTTCAAAATCTGTATATATGTACTGGATGCTGGTGGCGGCACGGGGCTTTGGTTTCTTCCAGGCCATGGCCCATGGCCAGTCGGCCGCCACCTACCTCTAACGTCTGACCGCCAGGTCTCCATCACGCCACTCCTTTCTGCGTCCGTCCGCTACTCCGCTTCACTTTCTGTTCTGGTCTCCATGGCTGTGTTTCGTCTGTTTGTTGTTCATCGGTTTCGTAAAGGCACTGCGCAAGTGCGTAATCCGTACGCCGTCCAGGTCTCCGCGGATGCCAAGCCCTCATGCAACCTCAACGAAAATACATACAGTACATATACACTGGAAAACGCGACACATTTGCATTGGGCCTGCCATTCCAAACCTCATTTGACACGCCTACCAAACGGCTCCCGTTTTCAGTATCTCCTAGTCTAGTAGTCGTAGTAGGACCTGGTGAAGGGGCAAAAAAAAAAAAAAAAAAAAAAACTATTGACGGCGTGTTTAGTTCCACCTCAACTTTAAAAAGTTTCTTCTGATCTGCCATCGCATCGAATGTTTGCGGCCGTGCATGGAAGCATTAAATGTAGAGCGAAAAAGATAAACTAATCAAGACGGTTTGGTGGGAAATTACGAGACGAACGTTTTGAGCCTAATTAGTCCATGTTTGAACACTATTTACCAACTAAAAATGAACGTGCTACAGTAACCCCAAAATCCAAATTCCTACAACTAAACAAGGGCTGATAACTAAACTCCACTCTCGGTTCCTAGTTTATTCTAGCGTCTGAGAGTGGTAACCTACTAGCAAATACAAATACCCGTGGCAAACGAGGTTCTTAAACTATCTATCTACGCCAAAGCAAGTATGCATATACAATTCTTCTGCTTGCAAGTATCGTCCCGGCCCGGTCGGTCACCATCTCTCTGGTGTCTTCTCCCCTCACGGATACGGCACACGCCAAATGCAAAACGGGTGGGCGGTGTGAAAGCAGCCACCGGCACGCCAAGATTCTAGGGCACCCCGCGTCAGTGACTGCTACGTGTCTCTATTAAATACTTTCTCCGTTTGACTTATGCATTTTAAATATATATTTTTTTAAAAATATAAGTAAAAACATTAATGTTAATATTATTTTTTGAAATACATATAAGATAACAACACAATATTTTATTTTTTTTATTTGGTACTTGAAAACTTTCATAATTTTATCATTTGTATGTTGTAAAACTACGTAGATTGTATTGAGACTGATGGTAAAAGTTCAAATGTTTAACTAGAACAAAGCTAATGGAACATGTAAAAAAAATATGAGAGCAGTATATATTTGGCTTGAGAAAAAGATAGTGAGCGCCAAATCATCATCGTCAGATGGTTGGTCTCTTCAGTCAGCTCCGTCAGCTGCAGCCTGCAGCGGCCGCCGCTGTTTCTGTGGCAGCACAAGGTTTCCGCTGCCCCTGCGGCCCTGCCCACAGGTAGCGCGCCTCTCTTTCAGTGCAAGGCTGCAGGCTCATTAATCTCTCGTGTCACAGCACGGTAAAATTTCAGGTGTTACATCGGGTGTCCAATAAAAAAACAAATTATAGAATTCGTCGTTAAATCGCGAGACGGATTTATTAAACTTAATTAATCATCATTAGCACATGTGTTACTGTAACATTTTATTGTTAAATCATAGACTAATTATGTTTAAAAAATTTGTCTCGTAAAATAGTCGTAATCTGTATAATTAGTTATTTTTTAGTCTATATCACATGTCAAACATTCGGGGTGATGGGTTGTCCAAACTACCGGTCGCAGACTTGCAGCTACCGAACCTTTGAATGTTTCAAACACCTGCAACAACTTGTACGGATACATTAACATTAGTGGCCTGGTAGTGGGTACTAATCTTCTTCTTTAATTATACGGCACCAGTGTCAACCTTTAACACTTGTCGCTCCCTCCAAAAATAACTTGTAATACTTTTGACGTGCCATACTTCTAGGATTCCCGACCACCAAATATGCTGCTACCGAATCCGTACCAAAGAAGACCCGAAGGTTCACAACTCGCCTATTCAAGGAAAGATATCTGAAGATCACGTCAAGACTCTGACTAGGGCACGACTATGTAACTTATAGGGCAAGTAGGCCTCGGATATAAATAGCTAGCCATCCGCTCTGTTGTAATTATCGAAACTCTCATATACATAGCCATCTTGTACTCGCCATCTCACCATCCCGACGAGATCGTAATACAAACAAGTAGCAACTGGACGTACGGCTTTTACTCGCTTCCCGGAGGTCTGAACCGATATAAATCTTGTGTCTCCATCATGTTTGCTCTTTGCATCAAGCGAGTTCCTCTAAGAACCGAGTATCTGCTGGTAAAAAACACCGACAGAGGCATTGTCGATCGTC